AAAGGGCTGTGCTCTGAGAATGGTCACAACACCGAGGGAGTGAGGAAGAGGAGCCCCCAGGGGGAGGCCCGCCGCGGGTACGTGCGAACACGCAACCCGGAGCCGCCTTTTCCTGGGAGAAGGGACGGGCTTCCTTCCCTGAGAGCCTGCCGTGGCTAACCCGCTGCACAGAACGCGGAGCTTCTGTTGGGCCGCGGGGCTACCCTGATCACGTGCCCCAGGCTCCGCTCCAGACCCTGGTCAGCGGAAAATCCCCCCTCCCGCTGCCCGGCTGTCTGAGCGCTGAGCCTCACAGGCCACCACCCCGTGCCTCCAGCAACGCTCGGTCCCGCTCTCCGCTAGCCCCGGGGCCACCTCCCTAACCGTCCAGAAGCCGTCTCCTCTTCTCCGTGTTTTCCCCCAGTTCTTGAGAGCATGCTTCTCACAGCGAAGGCCCCGACCTACCAGCCCCGTGGGAGAGAACAGCGTGTCAGTAGACGGCCTTTCCCCTCCTTTTCCGTAGAGCCTCTTTGGTTTCCTCGTCTTCTCTCCCTTCCCTCCTCTCACGTCTTAGGAGCACCTGCCGTAACCTCCAGGACCCTTCTCTGAGCCTGAAACAGGGACTGTTCTCTGTCACGGGACTGAGGTGCTCTGACTCCCTCCGACGTGAGTTTAACCTATGACAGGTGGAGTGTGTGCCTGTGGGGTGCCCAGGGGAGAGCGTCCAGTGCAGAGTTACAAACATGGGCCTGCAGCGGGCGGTGAGACCTCAGCATCCTGCTGGCAGTAGCGCCCTCGGTGCTGATGAAGTCTCCCAGGCGAGTCTGAGAGCGGCACAGAGGGAGGCCAGCGGCGGCGGCCTGGGGGCACCAGAAAGTGTGGGAAGGATGTGTGAGCAAGCTGTACATAAAAATGCCCTTTAACTGTTTGTCCTAATCTGTTTTTGCTCCTCACCAGGCTCAGTACCGAAGATTCCCTAAGCCCAATATCCCTGCTTTACAGTAAAGAGAAGTTCACCTAGGGCAGACGTGCTTCCAGTTCTTAGAATTCTGATCTTTAAAAATGCCAGAAGTTAAACAAACATTACTGTAAGAATTCAGTGATTACAGGCAGGATTCAACAAGTGATTCAACTAAGGCGCACTGATTTATAATTTACTTGAAACAGGAGCCATCCTCTCCTGCGTTCTGAGAGGGCTGAGAGTAGGTTTCCTCTGAAGTGCGTGGACCAGCTGCCTGTTCCAGGCAGCCCTAGGACAGAGAAATTCTTCTCTGTTCTGTAGAAGTCATTTTTAAGTGGATGGTTCTTGTCGTATTTGGTAAATGTGAGAATCTACCAATTTTCAGTCGTGTGGAGGAAAAAGAAAAGCATGATTTGGGGAAGTCTAGTGTGCATCTGCTCACTGGTGCGGCTAACCAGCAGCCTCTTCACATGTAGAACTCTCTTTGAGAGTCAAGAACGGCTTCCCAAAGTAAACCAAGAAAACCAGAGCCAAAGGTTCAGTGCTGGGCAGGCAAATGCTTCCTTCCAATGAGGACAGTCTCTTCCTGTCTTAGACTGCACCGTCACATAAGGGCTATAGAGGGCTTCTGATATTTTGTGATTTCTAGGTAGGATGTGATTGGGGAAGCAAATGTTTGAGGCTCAACACGGACAAGTTAAGGATCATTTTTAACATTGACACACTAGAATGGCAATGACTAGCTGGGAGAGGATGGCTGGGGCGTGGGGGCGGGGCAGGCAGAAGCCCAGGAGGTCTGGACAGCTGGTAGACATAGAAACCCCATGGGAGGTCAAGGGTTTGGAGATCAACTGTAATTGTACAGGACGGTCATTTGCACCTTCAAATTTCAAGCTCGACGTTGGTAATTTTTCTTTAACAAAACCATGCTGTTCTGTACTCACTTTTTTTTCCTCCCATTTGTGAATTACTTTATTTCTCAAGCTTCTTGTCATTGGATGCTGAGTCTCGAGGGGCCTTCATTCCAAAGTTGAACCCACCCCCACTGACCATTCAGGAAGGTGGGCCAGGTCTGCCAGAACGACACCCCAAACTCCAGAGCCATCCCCTTGATTCTCTCCCCTCTGTCTCTCTCCTAAGGTAAACCCACCCTATCACGTCCCATTGGTTGAGCTGGTCCCACACCCAGAGACCGCCCCCGCGACCGTGGACAGAACTCACGCCCTGATGCGGAAGATTGGACAGTCCCCGGTCAGAATCATGAAGGAGATTGACGGCTTCGCTCTGAACCGCCTCCAATATGCAGTTATCAGCGAGGCCTGGAGGCTCGTGGAGGTGCGTGGGCTGCCCTCTGTCCCTGCAGCTGAGCAGAAGAGGCGGGAGTCTTGGGGGTCCCCGCCGGGGTGGGAAAGGCATACAGGCTCCATCCCACTGGCTCTATTCTGGAGACCACAGGCAAACTTCTCCCTCAGGTTCAGTCAAAAGGCAATGGCAGTCAAATGTCAGGTAGCAAATTCAGCACTTCAGAGAATCCTCTGCACGGCAAGTCACCCGCTATTCAGGTGTGATGGCAGACTTCCTTCTCGCCCTTTCTCGTCATTACCAAGTAGTTATCTCCGTGACTTGCTGCGTTTTCCCAGTCTCAGATTCTGCCCCCCAGTGCTATACTTTTTCAGGAGAAAATTTATATTTTGAGTAAACCTGTATCCTCTAAAGAACCCAATTTATTTCACGATCTTGAGAAAGAAACAGTGAATGACCTTTAAACTTGTTAGTAACATGCTCTTACGTATAAATAGAAGATTATTTACATCCTCAACTTTTAACTAAAAGATTTTACACGCAATTTTCAATTGCCTGGCTGCGTGCACTGCCGTCTGCATTGTTCAGTTGAGGGGCCTGGTCCCTGGCAGGTAGGCGTCAGAGCAGCTCCAGGCCTGGGAGTGGAGCCCAGGGTCCAGGCTCAGCCGGCCAGGTCTCCACCACCCACTTTCTGATGCTTCCCGGCTTCTGCCCGGGTGAGCAGGGTGCTCGACCGGCACCTATCCTGCCGCCACCGGGCAGAGTGAGCGAGGAAAAGGGGGCCCAGGGTAAACCATCTTTGCCTGGATGGACCCAAAGCTCCCGTCTTGGCTCCCAAGCATGCCCAGCGATCCCAGCCCGAGACAAAACAAGGACGCTGGCCACTGTGGGACCCACGCCTGGCGGAGTCCTCACCAGGAGCCCAGACCTAAAGTCCACCAGGTGCAGTGTGCACGTGACAAAGTCAGAACAGGCTACAGAAATGAGATTAAGAAAGTAGAACCAGAACCCCGAACCCCCAAGCCGCCTTTGGAGGAAGTCGAGAACATAATTCACTTAAGAAACAAAGACTATGTACAGACAGGGTTGCGGCAGGTCCCCGTCCCCAGGCTGGGCAGGGGTGGCGGGGACCAGAGCCCCGGCGTCCCCAACCCCGCCATGCGCGCAGACCCGG